GATTGGTTTGTCTAGGCGAGGATGACATCAATCATGGGAAAGTTGAGGATCCCAAATCTTGCCACAATTTGCTCCTGAAGTAGGATCCTTGGCTTTTCCACCAGTTAGAGCAATCTTGTGACTTCTATCAGCGTCCAGCACAGCACTGGATAAAGCTTGTAGGAGGAGTTTTCTTTCTGCTCTAGGAGGATGCAGAACCCCTGACCTCTGCCTGGACAGTGCTGATTGGCCCTGTGCTGGTCACATGCACTCTCCAAAGAAAAAAAAAAAACCTTTAGAAATACCAAACTGAGCATGTTCAAAGTGACACCATATGATATGTCTTATCAGGAGATAAGAGGGGGACACTGGAAGAAGGGGAGGATCAGAGAAGTCAGGATCAAATAGTGTTTTTACACAATGCAGAGGATTAACCCCTTAGGTTCCACAGTGAGTATGACCAGCATGCTTTACTGCATGTATACACTGATTTTACTGTTGTGGGTTTAGTAGCACTTTAAACTCTCTTTTCCCCCCATTATGGACTGTTTTTTTTTTTTTTTCAGTTACAATACTTGCAGCATACTTTTTTTTTTTTTTTTTTTTTTTTCACTTGGTATTCAAGTGAGCAACAGGTGAAACCCAGTGCAGTGTGTTTGGGTACAGCTGTCTAAACGTCTTGTGCACACTGGAATGAACAGCTGTCATCTTGTAGCACATGTAGAGTTCGCATTGATGCAGATCCTATTCACACTCACTGAGGCCCTTGGCATATAGTATGTATGTATTTACACACATGAAGAGGTTCAACTTGAAAATACTTTATCTAAGTACAGTTAGGTCCATAATATATTTGGACACAGGCACAATTTTAGTTTTTTTTAAGGTCTTTACCAAAACATATTCAAGCTATAGTTCTATAATGGATATGGGCTGAAAGTGCACACTCCCAGGTTTAATTTGATGGTATGTACATCCAAATTGGAGGAAGGGTTTAGGAATTACAGTTTTTAACATTAGCCACCCCCCCCCCCCCCCTTTTTCCAAGGAACCAAAATTAATTGGACAATTGAATCAATGATACGCCCACCTCCTGGAGAGTGTCCTTCACTTGTCTGGATGTTGTGAATGGGTTTCTGTCCCATAGAGAGGATCCTGCGATCATCCACCACTGTTGTCTTCCATGGACATCCATGCCTTTTTATGTTGCTGAGCTCACCAGTGTGTTCTTCTTTCCTCAGAAGGTACCAAACTGTTGATTTGGCCACTCCTAATGTTGCTGCTTTATCTCTCATGGATTCGTTTTGTTTTTTAATCTTTACAATGGCCTGTTTCACTTGCATGGAGAGCAACTCCTTTGAATGCATGATGTAGGTTCACAGCAATAGATTCCAAATGCAACTACCACACTGATGCAGGCCATAGACGGGTCATTTATCGGCCAAATTGTCGTCCGCACGAAAAATCGGCCGATATTCATGCCATTCGTGGGGCCAGCCCGTCGGCAGTTTTTCGCGGATCTACTCATTTATTTTTATCGGTCATGCTTAAAAATCCACGAAAAACAGCCGTTTTTCGTGGACATTGGTGGCAGCATCGGTAACTTCATTGGACAATTTTTTGTTTATCGGCCAACAATTCGGCCGATTTTTCGTTTATCGGCCTACAATTTGGCCGATAAACGGCCCGTCTATAGCCTGCATTAGAATCAACTCCAGACCTTTTACCTGCTTAATTGATGAAGGATTAACAAAGGAGTAGCCCACACCTGGCCATGAAACCGCTTTTGATTCAGTTGTCCAATTACTTTCGGTCCCTTGAAAAAGGGGGGATGGCTACTCTTAAGAGCTGTAATTTCTAAACCTTCCTCCAATTTGGATGTACATACCCTCAAATTAAACCTGAGAGTGTGCACTTTCAGCCCATATCCATTATATAACTATAGCTTGAATATGTTTTGGTAAATACTGGAAAAAATACTAAAATTGTGCCTGTGTCCAAATATATATGGACCTAACTGTACCTGATTTTAGACAGTCATTCACACACAGTGTAACTTGCACCATACCATACGTAGCTTTCAATCGTGGGTCTCCTGTGATTAATTGTGTGTGATAGAAACTCATTTTAAATTACATTTCTGGCCGCCTTCTCTAAATGGTTATTGCCTGCCTGCCTGCCTGTGCCTGGCTTCAGTATTTACACACCTGGAACAAATATGCTGCAAATAAAAGCCAGAGAAAAGCGGTCAGAATTCCATCATCTCTTAACTTGAAGCTTCAGCATGGCATCCAGGCAAGGAGCATTTTCAGGTAAAGAGGTCAGGAATGACAGCCTCCATATTTCCCATGCCATGTCTTTTTTTTTTTTTTTTTTTTTTTTTTATGTTTCTGTGTACACCCTAAACTAGACCATAATTGGGTACTATACCCTTAATAATGCCTTAGAGTTTAGTTTTCTTAGAATGGTTTCATTTTCCACTGGAAATAATGCCTAATTCTGATTTTAATTTCGCCACTGGGAGTTGCTGTGTCCAGTAGTGAGTTCTCCCCCTCCTTTCTGGTCCTCTCTATTGCCCAATTGGATTGGATAGAAAATTACTGTAAAATCCCCTGTTCAATCACTTTCTCCAATCTTCTGGGGTTGTCTTTGTTTCCACCCGTCCTCCACAGCCCTCTTCCCAGTATCCTTGCTCTGCCCCTGCTAGTCCCAGGAAATCTAACTAAACTCCTTCTGGCTACTTGCCCGGAGGAAGGGAAGCTGTAGGAGGCTGAAAGTAGCACATTAGAAGCTGCCTACTCCTGAGCCCCACTACAGCCTACTCCCGAAGCCACCCCACCAGATATGCACTATGAGGTCTGGCGACCCTGTGTGGTCACTTTACAGTTTTCAAGCAAATGAGAGACATCTCTCCAAATGCTGTACTCATCGCTTGTCTGTAAAAGATCCACCCTTTCCAAACTCTTACGTAATTCCTGCACACCCCTCACCCTTTGTTCCCACCATTGTATTTGCACCTCCTGCTGTTACCGCCAGAACCCCCACCATGCCTCCCACTCCCAACACCATCTTATCCACATAATCAACTTCATCCCCTTGCCCTCAATACCCCCAACCCTCCCCCACGCACTCTACATTGCACCTCCATGCTCTCAACCAGGGCTTGACAAATCCCAGGCGCCAGGTCACCATAGTGACTGGAAATTGTGTCCTGGCTTCTGGGTTCACACACTGCCTCCTATTGTCTACAATATGAATCTGTGAGTGTAAAAAAGCATGCAGAGTCACATGTGTGAACCAGGGCAGCTCTATTCACACCTGAGAGTCTTGTGATCGCAAAACACAAGTTCAGGGGCCAATATTTTCAGTGACACCTAAAACGTGGGGCATTTTTTGCTGTGATTGTCAAGCGGCAAATTGCATCGCATGAAGCTTGTCGCCCAAAATTTACCTTGCCCTGGGCGCTGGCAACCCACATTACACTAAAAAAAAAAAGATCTAACGTTTGTTAGCTGGCTCCTAGAGTCAAAGCAAATTTATCAAGCCTTGCTGTCAACCATTCCTGTTCTCACCATGCCCTTTCACCACTGCACCTTTATCCCTTCTCTTCCCAGTTCTCAAACTCCTTTGCTAGGAAATATCAAAGTAGAATTATAGGCAAAACTTTTTGTTTTACATTTTAGATACAGTAAGGGAGGTTTTATAACCTAACCCATGTAGGGTTTCTTTTTTCTTTTCTGTGTCCCATAGAGGGGACATCCTGGGTCACCAAAGCTAGTGTCCCCATTAGAAGTTTTCCCCTCTATTACTGTTCTGTTGTCATTCCAAAATTTTGTTTTTGTTTTTTTTTTTTGCCTCCATTTCTGATGAATGTAAATGGGACAAATAACGAGGGTTAATTTCCCTACTAGGAGCACAGACAGCAATAAAAGCTGACAGATGCTCAGTTTAGTGTGTATTGCTAGAGAGGTTTTTTTTTCTTAGGAGAGTGCATGTGATCAGCACAGGGTCAATCAGCACTATCCAGACAGAGGGTCAGGGGTTTTGCATCTTCCTAGAGCATGAAGAAAACTGTTCCTACAAGCTTTAACCAGTGCTGTGCTGAAGTCACAAGACTGTTCTAACTGCTGATGAGAAAAGGTATTTAGCAGTTTGTTTACTAAAATAATTGCACTTCCAGAACTAGAACTATAGGCAAAACTTTTTCTTATTTCCCATTTTGGATAGATTAGGGCAGGGTTACAGTATAACCCATCAAATGTTTTTTTTTTTTTTTGCCACGTGTCCCATTGGGGAGATTTCCTTTCATTTCCTGTCCCACAAACAGTAAGAGGAAATCTCTGCAAATTAAGGGAATTCCTTGGGGACCCCTAGGTCCCCAAAACTAGTGTCCCTATTGGAAGATTTCCCCTCTTGCTTTTCTGGGGATAACCCATAATTAGGGATTTTCTTTTACTTTCACTTTCAATGATAACAGTAGACAGGACAAATAAAGAAGGTGAATCTCCTTAACGGGAACTTCTGGTTCTGCCCCTCTATACAGGGCAGGTCAATAGCTGCGGGAGCCACTGACTTACATAGCTGTCTATCAAACTATGTGATGAGGGGGCGGGGCAGGGTCATGCCCCACAGTCAGCACAGTCAGTGTCTATAGATGCAGGCAGCGAGCCCGCACAAGCACCCCCACAGGAAGCGGCTCCCCCTGGGGGTGGGGTGTTACTGGATGAAGAGGAGGAGCCAGGAGGGCTGGCAGGGAACCCGGGAAGGAGGATCGGGGCTGCTAAAAAAACAAAGCTTTAAAAACACTTTAGTTTTGCATGAATTTCTCTCACTTCCTGGGACAGGAAATTAAGGTTAATCTCCCCAATGGGATACAGATTGCCAAAAAAATCTCAGGTTATAGCCCCCCTTACTCTATCAAAAATGAGGAAATTACTTGTTCAGTGTGCTAAGTCGTTTATGATGAATGTTTATTTTTATTAATTTGTAGTAGCTTAATGTTTCCTTTTTTCATTTACTAGGTTCATGTGTGCACAACTGCCAAATCCTGTCCTAGAGAGCATTAGCATCATAGACACGCCAGGCATATTGTCTGGGGAGAAGCAGCGAATCAGCCGAGGTATGTGACAATGCCTGATGGTTAGATATTTTGTCAGAGGTTTACATGTGTACAGTTCTTTTGATTATGTTTAAAGCTTGTCGCCACTCACTTCATACGATTCATGCTTACAAGTACCAATACTTTCTCATTTTCCATCAACGTTACTGCAGATTTTATGGGGATCTTGTCAGCAATATGCATGAAATTACTTAAAGTCTGTCACTTTGCTGGCTTCTTTCTTTGTCTTTCCCTTTCTTGGTTGCTGTTTTTTATCATCAGTGTGCCAGTTTGTTTGCTGCCTTGACTACATGTCTTTAGCCTGCCCAGACCGCATTATGATTAAGGCCTCTTCACACTATGCCATTCTGTTGAGGTGCTGTACGTTAAAGCGGAGCTCCACCCAAAAGGGGAAGTTCCGCTATAAGGCTTCCTCACCCGCTCCCCATTAAGATTGGCACCTTTAGGGAGCGGAGGGGCAGGTATCTGAATTTGACAGGTTCCAACTTCCGGTGTGATCGCCTGAGGCGATCGGAAGCGGAAGTAGTTCTCCCCCACTCCCTCCAGAAAGCGCAGCGCTACTCACGTATGCGCAGTGGCCACCTGGCTGTGAAGCCACAAGCGGTCACAGCCAGGTGCCCACACTGAAGATGCCGGCGCCAGGGAGAGAAGATGGCTGGTGAAACCAGTCATAGGGAGGACACTGCTGGACCGAGGAACAGGTGAGTGTCTGTCTGTATTTTAAAAGTCAGCAGCTACAGTTTTTGTAGTTTTTTTCCCCAACTGGAACTCCGCTTTAACGTAGACCATTAATCTAGAATGAGCACCCAACCCTCAGCAATGAAGTACAAATAGAAGCAGCACCTTTTTCTTTTAACACTCTGCAGTGTGTGTTGTGGTACCCTACAGTGTAGATCCTTTGGCATCTATTGTACTTGTGTGTTAGGGTGCTGTTCTCAACAACATGGTTATAGGTTTAAAATAAATATAGTGTTGCGCTTCACCGACAAGTAATTAAGTGTATAATATATAATTACAAAAGAAATTTGCCAAAAACAATATCAGGGGAGGGGCTCTGATGTCACGACGCTTAAGGAGACAGGAGCCACACAGTAAGTATACTGAACTTAATGTAGCTAGCATACACTGTGGATTTGTTTTTAAAGTGATTTCATCAGCATTTACATGTGAGTGCAATACCTGGCATATGTACCAATGGAAGAAGAGTCTTAAGGAAGTGAGGGGATCCCTAAATCTGAAGATTAATTAGCCTATCCCGTCTAAGTCCAAACAAAAGGGACACAAGCTATTTACGACCTGACTTAACGGTTTGGTCAGATCTACCAGGTGAGAGCACAGCTGGTTGAGGTGCACGCATGGTTGGTACAAATACGCAATAGTGGTGAATTGAGCACAAGTCATTTTTGTCCACATCACTGGAAAGACTGTGAAATCACGGATCATATATGGACACTTAATCTTGGAATATTGATACTGGTTTTGGACACTTTAAGTTTGGATTACTGTTATTGTTTTTGCCAAATTTGTTTTGTAATTATTATACACTGTGGAATGCGACACTATTCTATTCTATTTTGGCTTAATATGACACATTAGTATATGGGTATGTGTGATGTGTAGGCGATCTGCTGTTATAATTTAATCAGTGTATATCACTGCACCTTTATATTTGTCAAAACACCATTTTTGACACCATAGTAGCTTGCAAGATCTCACCTATTATCATGGTTATAGGTTTAGTTAGCTTTATTTTTTGTTACGCTTTAGGGAGACTTCACCTTATTTCCTTTACCACAAAGTGAAGGGAAACCCTCTCTTTCAGAGCTGCTGTATATCCTCAGTGGAAAATTTCCTTTTACTTTCTTTTTTGGGAACAACTGTGACATCCTTATATTCTGTCCTAAAGACCGAGAGTGAGTATCCCAGTAGGGACAACAACGGTAATAAAAACCCAACAGGGATTTTTACCAGTCCTACTTTATCTAAATCTTTTGGCTTTAGAAACACTTAAATTTTCAGTGCATCAGTATTTGTGACCACTTTTAAATGATTAAATTGGCCAGCGTGGAGAGAGCACATACCAGCAGATTCACTTCTTTGCTCTGGTGTTGGGAAGCAAAACTGCCAAGCCTGGAAAAACAAGGGCCTAAATGTGAAAGATCCACCTTTTTTGTTACTTTGAATTTGAGAATCATTGCGCTCAGTCTAGGGGTTTAACCCTTTCCATGGCATTTTCCATTATTGTCATGGGATTGAAAAGGGTAAAACAAGCTCACAATTGAAACAAAACAAATTGCAAATATATTTAACATTCCGCCCTCTGTGGCGTGAATCCAGAACTGCTCCGAACACTTTCAGGTTAAGAGCTGTCAAGCCCCAGGTGCCCTGCTGTCATAAAATATATACGATGGAATTCATAAAGTGTGTTGTAGAATTACGCCACACCTCTGCACCATAAATGGCGGGGCTTGCGACAGATTCATGTACTTGTTGGGAGCAGATATGTGAATTTGTCAGAGGTGGCGGCCGGCACTAGAGGTTGGAGAATCCATGCTCGCTAAGGAAAGGTTTTATCCTCTAATCCCGTCTGCCTTGACCAACGTGCCTATTAGGCAGTGATGTCAAGAACTGTTTGCATGTATACACAGGACTTTTTTGACCATTTTATTATGCCTGAAAAATCAGTTCTGCCTTTTGTACAGTTAAAATACTGCAAACAAGACGCATTCTTTTCTCTGTATAGTAAACATATTGTATGATAATACAGTACATAGACAAAACTGAGACAGATGTGCAAAAAGCAGCTGAACCACCTTGCCTTGATCTTGATGGATGTTTGTCAGTTCTGTCGTTAAGTTGTTAGAATACATATAAACACTAAAATCTCTTTGGCATTTTTCATTATGCTGAGGGTGTTAAGGCGTGCTCTGTATAGAACAGTATGCCAAGCTATAAAGACAGCTATTCAATCAAAGGGGATTTCTTTCCAAGAAAGCATTCCCTTCTCCGGAATGCCTGGGATAGCTGTACTGTGCCAGGCAGTACCATTTAAAAATCCCCCTTGTGCTTGTGGTATTTAAACATTGCAGTCTTGCATAACAAATCCTTTCAACATTTGTTTTCTGTCTTAATAGTAGTGCTGTCAAATTGCGTTGTTTGATAAAATGTTTCCTGAAGATAGTGGCGCAATGGTGTCTGTGAGAGGATTAGTGCTCCAAGGGTGGCCCCCTGAGCTGCAGTTTGGAGGCCACTGCTCTTTTTATTCTGTGGATTTGTGCATTTGCTTTTCTCTGCTTCTCCTGCTGCTTCTTGATCATTACCCTAACCTGTCATCATCAGGGAGGCAGACTTGACAAAGCTTTGCTCCTTTACCAAATTGGAGATCTCCACACAGATACAGGGCTCAATTCACTAAAGTATATTGCATGAATTGTTCATTTTGACTTGTAAAAAAACTGCCTCCTGTGTTTTTGTTTTTTGTTTTGCTTTGGGTTTTTTTTAACTGGACACTTTTTTTTTAATTTTTTTATGGGTGAATTATTAGGGGTACCATGCCCCATGCTCTTTTAATGGGGGGGGGGGGGGCGGAATCTGGGGGCCAAATTCCGATAAGCCATCCGCTGGCCAGGGTTGTGGGGAAGAGACCATTGTCCCCATCGACATGAGGACAAGGCACTTTAGAGAGGGCATAGTATAGTTCATGTGGGCATATGGCCTTTTAAAGTTTAGCACTCGCTCGCCTGCCAGGCTGTATGCTCAGATAAGGGTCTGGTTTGGTTTTTGGGGGGAATCTCACACCATTTTTTTCCCTTCATTTTTTTTTTTTTTTTGTTTTGTTTTTGTTTTTACATTCAGCTGTCAGCGGGGAACACCATGTTTGTGAACTTTAGAAGCACCTGTTTAAAACTCCAGCATCTCCACTTCCCAGCAGCTATACTAATTACCATTCCACTTTTTTTAATTCAAGACACACAATCTGTGGGGTCTATTTATAAAACATTAGTTGGACGAATGACACAAGCATGTGGCCAGGATGTAGGACATTTCCCTGTAATTTCTGTAATCCTATGACTTCCTATGATCGTCCGCTTCATGTAGTGGCCAGAATAAGGTATATTTTTCTGATATAACTCAGAAAATATACCTCATTTAGTCACTAGATCATAGGAAATCATAGTGTTCGTAAAAAAAAAGATATTCAGTCTGGATGAATGCTTGTGACATTTGTCCAACAAATGTTTTTTAAAAAAAATAGACCCCTACGTGTGTTCAGAGCTGAAGCATCATAATCCCAAGCATTTGGAGAACCCTTGTATTACATACTATTTTATTTATTTATTGCAGGTACTTGTATAGTGCAAATTTACACAGTGTTTTACATATATATTGTACAGTATAGTTTCCTTTAGCTTGGCTAATGGTGGCCACCAGTGAGCACTTGATTATTTACGATCACCCATTGTTATACCCATTTTGTGACTTAATTTTTTTGTTTGGGTACTTGTAAAAAGAAAAAAAAAAATCTCTAAGTAGGATATTGGGAAAAGACTCTGGCAGTCTTCTGTGATCTTAGCCTGGACAGTCATTACACTGGATTAGCTTGGTTGCTTTGTGTCAGAATCTATTGTGGGGGGAAGGAGAGGTGAAAGCATTTTTCTCCCATGTACACAGCCACTCTGATGACTTTGGCAGCTGACTCTTCACAATTGCTACCCACACTCATTTTCCACAAACTAACCACAGCTCTATTGGCTGTTCCTGTATTTGTTTCACTCTTCCCTGCCTGCCTCAGTAGTTCCTTCATGCAGCCTACAGGAAGCATTGTGCAGGGGGTAGATAAGGGACCAGTAACCAATGCAGTAAGTTAAAGCAAGGAAGTTTCCTGAAACAATGCAGCAATCTCCAAAGAATGAAGGGTGTACACTGATTTCTTCCATTTGCATTCATATTTAAGGGTCCGACATGTATCATGTTTACCGTGCTGATTCTCCATAGCATTC